TAAATAAAATAAAACAGACGTTCCTCCTCCTCTCCGATTTGTTTTTTGTTTTTTGGCTATGAAATGGGAAAACTAGCTTGCCAGTGACATCATAAATGTAGTTGTGTCTATTAGCCTGTTCTCAGAACCAAACCACTTAGTGTTTTTATTCCTGCAGCCTACATTGTGAATTCCTGGTTCCCCTTGACTCACTCTAAAAGGCAGAAAGAAATCGTTAAAACCATTGATATCGTCGTAACTCCGAGATATCCCATCGAGGGACAAGATGTTGAATTTGCCCCGAAAGGGAGTATGGAACATGTAACCGCCTGCCTGTGGTACAGAGGGGAGGAGGATACATACGCTGAAATCTTTTTCATTAAACGAAACCCTTTTCAACTCTCATATTCCACCGGCTACAACGGGCGACAGAATGCAGGAGAGGACTGCATCTTGCATATCCAGAACGTTACATTTGACGATCAGGCCTTGTACGGACTCCACAGGAACGAAACGAGTAAATCTGAAAATGGGGAGACCTTTTTACGAGTTCTAAGCAGTAAGCTTTATGCTTCCCTTTTATACCCTTTGATGACAACATAGTCTCTGCTTTTGAAAAAAAAAACTTCCTGCTCTTATTTTTGAAACCAATCTGTAGGGCAGGACATTAAAAGACGGTTGTTATTGTTTTTTAAAAATGAGTTTTGGTCCTAATCAGAGCTGGGAAGTTTATTAGTTTATGTATTTATGAATTTTTAACTAAATCTTTTAGAATCACCCAGTGATAAGGGTGATTGATTGATTGATTGATTGATTGATTGATTGATTGATTGATTGATTGATTGATTGAATGATTGATTGATTGATTGATTGATTGATTGATTGATTGATTGATTGATACAACATAGACAGCAACAAAACCAGCATGCTGGATAGCTCAGTGGGTTAGCTCTCTGGCTGCGGAACCAGAGGTGGGAAGTTCAGTTCCCCACTGTGCCTCCTTAAGAAGAGCCGGACTCAATGATCCATAGCATCCTTTTAAGTTCTGCAGTTCAAAGGTGGTGGTGATCGAATAGTTGTTGTGGGTTTTTCGGGCTCTTTGGCCATGTTCTGAAGGTTGCTCTTCCTGACGTTTCACCAGTCTCTGTGGGTGGCATCTTCAGAGGACAGCACTCTGTGCTCTGGTGTAGTTGGCTTGGGAGTGCACTCCCAAGCCAAGGCACTCCCAAGCCAACTACACCAGAGCACAGAGTGCTGTCCTCTGAAGATGCCACCCACAGAGACTGGTGAAACGTCAGGAAGAACAACCTTCAGAACATGGCCAAAGAGCCCGAAAAACCCACAACAACCATCAGATCCCGGCCGTGAAAGCCTTCGTGAATAGAGTGGCAGTGATCATTAACCCTGTTGGCCCAATGTATCAGAGTGACAGGGGCAACAATTCAAGAGAGGTTGTCTTTGAAGGCCTCTCAAAAGATGTGTGTCTTCAACAGCCTCCTAAAACTAAGGAGGAAGGGAGGCAGGCATAACTCCACCGGGAGGTGATTACAAAGAGCTGGTGCCACCATTTGAGAAGACCCTACTTCTTATTGAAGACATCTTGGTCTTCTTCATTGTACCCACCTGGAGAAATATAGCCAGAATTGATGTGCTGGTGTGGGAGGTTGACCATCAAGTAAAATGGCCCCAAATCATGAAGGGCTTTGCAGGTAAACATCGAAATCTTGAATTAGATCCAGGACACAACCAGTAACCAGTACAGGTGAGCCAGGATGGCAGAGTCCAGGAGAAAGACTTTTTAATCCAAACCACTAACTATTAAATGAATACATCTTAATCTAAAAAAGCAAATACTGTATTCTAAGCTCTGGCTGTGATTCAGCTACTGCTGGAACGGTTTCAATTTGATTCCGAGTAGCAGATGGCCAGGTCTGAGCCATACATGACGAAGAACACACATGCTTTTTTCCCCTTCCAGAACAAGGTAGTGTGTTTTTTGTTGTTTACAACCCTCCAAGTGTTATAAGAACAAACAAAAATCCAACGCAGATCAAGTGAGTTGTGTTCAAAACTGAAATTAAACAGGATTTCCCTAGATTTGGGGATATTTAACTCTCCACAATACTATAACAGCAAACAAAACAAAGGTAACATAGAAGTGGCCTTTTTCTCTATGCAAGCAGAGAGAAAGAGATCAAAAGTTCAAAGAGATCTTGAAAATATTTTTATTTTATATTTATTGCTGCAGGTAAACAAGCTTATGTGAATTCCAGATCCATGGTTCTCTGGAGAACTTTTGACAGAGGAAATAGTAGTATTCTTATTAATGGCAATGATTTACCATTATTCCTTAGCATTTTAGAATATACAAAGGGCATAATGTAGGCCAGTAACATAATAGTGTAGCAATGTGAGCAAGCATTATTGCAGATGGGCTGTGGTGAAGTGCAGAAGCTGAATCCATTGGGTCTACTTCCAGTGTTAACGTGCTGAATCCATGTCTGAGATGATCTTTGGCTTTCTCAGCAATCACTCCTTAGGTTACAGTAGATGATGCACATGGTGTATCATTAGAAGCTGAACTGTCTTGAGAACTAAAAGGCATTTCTTTATCCTAGTTATTTTCTCTTACAGAGCAGATTGTTCTGGCAGTGACTGCCCACCAGGGGGAAAAATGTCACTTTCATTTGCAAAGTTGAGTTCTCAGATGCAGAGTTTTGAAGGAACTGCATCCTCAGAGTGAAAACGGGCTACCAGCTACTCCTTAGAAAGGTGATGCACAGATTTCAAACAGCAGGCCAATTCTGTTTACTAGATCAAAAGCAAACGAGAGGTATTTGCCATTGGGGAAAATGAAGGCAAGAAAGAAAGATTATGCTGATATTTCTGGAATCCCAGTTTGCACTCTGATGGAGATGGTAAGATGCAAGGCAAGTTGAAATAAGACTTTTATGATTTGGCTTCCCAGTTCTCGTGTGATCTCTTTCAGGACCACGGAGCCCTCCAGTAGCGCCAAAAGCTCTGGGTTCAGGGCTCCTCGCTCTGATCATTGCCGCCTGTCTCGTTGGAGCGATCTTCATTGCTGCCCTGTTTACTTACCAAGCCGTCGGAACCTCCGAAGCGTAACGTTTATTAATTTACTGGCTTTTAAAAATGTGTTCTGGTTTAATCCTTTGGGAAACTCAGGAGGGCTCGGAAAAAAAATAAATGACTGAAACATGACACCAAAGAGAGGGGAGGGGGAAAAAAATCAAATAACCAAAGTAGCTTCC